GGAAATTAAAGCATACTGACATCCTGCCTCACCTCCTTTCTAGTTCACTGCATTTCTTTTGCCTTTGAAGAACTAACACTACCTGCTCCTAACTGCATATGTCTTCTAAGCCTTGACTCCCTGTGTTCTGTTACCACCTAAGTATTTTCCTTGCTGCTTCCCTCCCTTCCTTTTGCTATTTTGCCGCCTTTAGTTCACCTTGAATCTTTTCATTTGTTGAAATCTACTGTAAGCAACTAAGGTTTACCGAGTTTAATAATGAGAGTTAATACCTAGAATCAGTCTATTAAAATTACTGAGCCTTCAGATTTATATTTTGCTCCTTACTGTAAGGAAACTAAAATTTTAATGTCATATTACCAAAATAATTTGAAAGCAAGTGTTTAAAATTTTTAACAGGTTATGTGTAAGTTATCTAAAGGAATGATAGTATAACAGCTATATAATTTCTTACAAATTAAAAATGTTCAAATGCAAGTAAGCTATCTGCAGAAAGGGTTAAAGCATTCTAAAACTCACTTTACTAGCTTAGAACAAAGTCTACTTAAGTAATCTAAGTGTCTTGGTATTTTTCTACCCTCAGGTTTGGTTCACTGAGAAAAATTAATCCTGTCAGCATTGTTGAGCCTTGTCAGAAACAGATATACTCTTAAAAAATCTTTGTCACTCTGGGTAATTATCTTATAAAATTAGAAAAGTTTATTGTCCTATTAGTTACAAACTACTAGGAGTGTTTGGAAGTATGAGTGTTCGGAAGACCTTTTAAAACCTAATATATTCTGGTAGGCAATCCATAACACTGACCCTCAATGGGAAGACCAGTCCCGGAACCCCAGTTGTAGGGACCATATGGTTACTTGCCTCCTCCAGGCATACAGGAAGTCATTGTTAACCCAGGGAGACCAACCGAGGGAAGTTGCTCAGGAGCCCAGTGAAAATCCTGCATTATTTCAGTCTAGATTTGTGACAGCCATGAGAAAGAACATTAATCTGGACCCAGAGACTAGGACAGCTCATCCTAACAACACTTCATTAGCCAGTCTTGCCCTGACACATCAGGTACAAGCTCCAGTAACTGCATCAAGGTTCACAGACCCCTTTCTCACTTCCAGACATGGCGTTCAAGGTCTACAATAATAGGGAGGAAACCACCAGGCTGAAAGAAAAGAGGAAGGCAAGAGAAAGGGCCAGTATATGGACTGCCATTGCCAGCACCCTGCCACCTCAGACTCACCCAATACCTCATATACCTTAAGGCCATTTGGGGCCTCAATCTCCTGAAGGTCCCCCAGCATGGCCTTGTGTGTTTGAAAACATCGTGCTGCGGCTGTTGCCCAGAACATTGGAAGAGGATCTGCCCCACTCTCCAGAGAGGTAGGGAGCCAGCCCAAAGCACCCACCAGGCAGGAAGATAAAAGGTCATCAAGTGTCTCTGACTATAGTCATTGACTGGGAAAGAAGATCTTTTCTGAAGAGGCCCAGAGGTGAGACAGGTTCCCCATACCCTCTCTAGGTCAGCCTCAAGTAATTCCTGGAAGTGGCAGACATTACCTTCTTGGTGGATACAGGGCCACTTACTCTGCCTCGCTGCAGTTCTCCAGAGCTACCTACTGGTCAACTGTCCTTACTGGTGTTGATGGCCAACCTGAGCCAGGACACTTTACAGCACCACTGTCCTGCTCACTGCAAGTCCACCTGTTTACACTTGCATTTCTGGCCTTAACCATTCTGATTCCCCCATTCTGCTATAGCACCTTTGGGCCTCCAGGACACTATATTCAGGCTGATCTATCTTTTCCACCCCTGCTAGAGTCCTCATTTACCCTTGGAAGGCATAATATCCAAGGACTATAACCTCTTATACAAAGTTCCTCCACTTGGATCTTTTAAGACTCAGCATTCTTAGCTTTTTTTATTTAGTTTCATCTCACTTACACACCATCAAACCACAGCTTCCTGTTATGGAATATCAGTCACCATGGAGACCTAGAAGCACAAACAGCTATGGGAAATGTGAACCTAGATGCTTGACAGCCCATTTTGGACAACCATCACCACCTGAGCCTCTCAGAACCACACATAGGGGCTAAATTGACCCTGTCTGAAAACCCAAAGTGCAGCCATCAAATTCTCTTAAATTCTCACTGTCCCAAAATGACAATACACTAAGTAGAGCCAGCACTACCTTCCCAAAACTCAGCTCGAAGCAGCTACAGAAGACAGAACTTTATACCATTCCCAAAGATTTGACATATTCCTCTTGGGAGAGGGGAAAATACCAGGATTAAAAATTACTAAGGTTGGGCCCTCCCTGGAGGCACACGGGGTTAAAGCACAGCACCATGAAGTTATTGCAGCCACTGCAGCATGAGTTCAATCCCTGGCCAGGGAATTGACCCACATGGCATGGCAGACCTCTCCTGATTCATCTGCTGCTCTCTTCAGCAGTGTACTTTGTCAGTCTGCCTGTTCTGCCCCCCATCTTCTCTCTGGTGAATCATCTCACCCCCCACACCTCTAGCCTGTACCCCAGTTCTGTGTGCATAATTAAATAGTTTTTAAAAATTACCAAGGTTAAAAATTAAACCCCCAAATTACCGAGGTCCCAGCAGGCAAATTTGGGAAGCTTGAGTAGATAAAAGGAATTGAAAAGGTTGCTATTAGAGCCAGACCCTAAGACTAGATCATTTTGACCATGAATGTGGAAGCAGGGCCAGGACATATTCATTGTGTCAGAGGTCAACACCCAAGACCAGACATCCCAGAGGATAACAGGTTATAAAAGAAAGCCTTAAGCCCTTCTTTGCACAGACATCTCCCCCCTGCTCTCTTGCAAGGTATCTCAATAAATCTACCTTTTCCTTCCTAGTGTTTCTCCCCACTCACCGCCCACAATAAAATCAAGTTCATTATGCAAATATTAAAAGTATTATAAGATGTTGAACTTTCATCAGCTTCAAGGATTATGCTATTCCCAGGTATTGTGCATAGCTGAGCCTTCCAGAAAGTTTTTAATAGTTAAGTTTGACTTTTTTTTTTCTGTTGTATTTCCTGTTATTCTTAACCTCTAATTCAGTTTTTTCTTGATTAAGGAATCATTTGTTCTTTCATTTCAAAATTGAGATAAAACAAACAATGGATTCTACATAATAAACTGTAAAATTCAACTTTATTTGACTTTAAAATAAAAAGTGATACCAAATAGTATTATGCAATGTAAGATTGTTAATTTACCCTAAATTTTGCTCTAAGTAACAAAGATTGTGGAATGTAGTTCTACTAGACCAGTATTAACTAAATTAGGAAAAGGAAAATTCGTTTGGAAAATATTAGGGAAGTACTAATAATAGCAATAAAATTCTAGGCCCTATGCTTTTGACAATAGTATATTAGTTATACAATGGATTTGGTAATTGGGCCTAATCTGGAACAAGGGTTTCATCTGGAAATACACGAGTTGTAGAATATTTTATATCATCCTGAAGAACTCTGACCATCTCAAGTGTAGTAAGTGCAGTGGCTTAAAATTAAAGTTTTACATCAGTCTATTAATCACTTATTAAGATAAATATTGCAGTAAAATGTTCCAGCAACTTCTAAGCAAACTCCTTGCCAGGTAGATATGTTCCTTCAGCACTTGAGCCAGAATATTAATTTGGTCTTTAACCTGACTCAATATATCATATTGGTGCCTTTAACATCCCTTTTGAAATGGGATTCAGCTTCCAACTATAAGAGAAAGTCAAAAGTAAAATATTAGACTATAAGCATTTTTAACCTACTATTAATTGCTTAATGAAAAGGTTACATTTTATTGTCTGAAACAGTCACCTATAAGTAAATATATGTGCCTCTATGCCATCAAGTGTCATAAAGAAATACATTTGAATTCCTGTTCACTTTATGATTGATTGCATAAATGAGCTTTTTTTTATATATATTTTAAATAGTGGGTCTTAGAAAAGATCATGACAAATGAGGAGCCCAAGCACTTGATTCCCAATTTAGTTTTCCCATTTATGAACAAGGGTCCCTTTAAGAAAGAGAAGAGAATAGGGCCTAAAAAGAGATGTTTTGGACCCTCCTTGGTGCAGTGGGTTAAAGCACAGCACAAAGAAGCTAAAGCCACTTCAGCATGAGTTTGATCCCCGCCCTGGAGGTGATCCCACATGGCATGGCAGACCTCTCCTGACCTGCCCACTGCTCCCCTCAGCAGTGCACTTCATCAGTTGGCCTGTTCTGCTCCCCACTGTCTCTGGTGAATCCTTTCACTAACCCTGCACCTCTGGCCTGTGCCCCAGTTCTGTTTGCATAAATAAATATTTTAAAATATTTTTAAAAGAAAGATGTACCCCTGTGTCTATAGCAGAATTATTCATATTACCCAAGACATGGAAGACTATTTTTAAAAGATAAATTAGGCTTTTTGGAACAAGATGGATGGATCTTGAGGTGATGATGCTAAGTGAATTGAGAAAATAAAAGGTAGTTTACCAGATGGATTCACTCACATATGGAATATAAACAACCAAAGAAAACTAGCTGACAAAATACAACAAAAATAACTCTAAAGCACTGTGAAAACTACGCTGGTTACCAATGGCACTTGGAGGGTAGCAGGGGCAAAGTGGTCAGTGACAGTGTCTTGGCACTGGAATCTGATAGAGAGCATGTATACGCATGTACCTGTTAAGATGTGAAGGTGTGCTCCCAAAAGCACGAATTTTTATAGACAACATATTAATAAAATTCTGAAAAAAAAATGTTGTGAATGTTAAAAATTCATGGGAATTTGTCATCCTATTGCATAGTATATTTTTTTAATATAAAACATTTTAAATGATCTAAATAAGCTAAAGGGGTTGATTTAGCTTTATTTATCCCTTTCAAGTTAAATTTAGTTAATTTCTCCCTTTAAAAAATCATCAACTATGATTGAAAATCTAGGAACATGTCCATAAGTAGTTTGTGGTTCCATGTACCCCTATCTTAGCACCCACACATCCCAGGGAATGCACATCACAAAGGGAGAGTCATTGATATTTAGATGCTAATGTCTGGCTGTGTGCTTCCTATGCCCCTTCCTATCCCTAAACCCAAAGGTCTCAACTTTTGACCTAAAAATCAGAGGGAAGGGGGAAATGAACAGGGAAAATTTTGAAAATTGCATCTTTCAAAAACATTACTAAGTTTAATTTTTAAGTATTTCAAGTGAGTTTTACTGCCACTAATAGTCTCTCTTCCTACCACTTACATTTATAATGTGACTTCACAATTTTAGTTGTACAGTTCAATATTCACAATAAAAGATCTAATCAAATCTTTAAGTTTATTACCTTATCTTTTCCAGCCATATTCTTTCTTGGTCATTCGAAGAGTTGAATTAACTGAGGCTGTCCAAGTACATGCATTAAATGGAAAAATAAATTAAGAGTTTTAGAATATGGATAGCAAGAGAATATTTCAGAGTATCAATTTGCTTTCTCCCTTCAAGTCCTCTCCTTTCCTTTCAAATGGGCTCTTTACTTTCTTCCTAAAAGTTCAGCACAAGAGCTGACAAACTCAAATGGGAAAAGGGAAGTCACAGAAACAAGGAAGGAAGGCTGGATAAAAGACAAGAGGGAGCAGGGAATACCGTGGCAAACTGGTGAGCTTCCATTTTCCCTTTGGAGTCAGCAATACTATGCTATCTGACCGTTGCTATATGTAGGAATGAGATTTAGTGTTGGCAGACTTCCTGATTTTAGTTTTTTAAGAAAAGCTCAAAATCTAGATTTGTTAAATGTGAAACTTCTGTATGTTTATACTTGGAAACAATTTTGTTTTGTTTTAATTTAAGGGAAATGTGTGTCAAATCCAGTATACTAACTAGCTCCTGTCCATGGACCTACCATTTGACTTTTGTTCCAAACCCATGGAGCAATAGGATGTCGTGTTCCTTCAGTCTAATCACAAGTCCAGAGGGTTTGAAGGAGAGAAAGCTATGGACCAAGGAATAGAAAGGACATGTGCCCTAATCCTGACAGCATTTTAGGTCTCTGGCTCCATAGTCCTTATGTTGCCCCAAGGGGGCTGACTCCAGGCTCAAAGTTCCCAGCCTGTGCCCTAAAAATAGCGTGGAAGCAGAATATTGGCACCTCTCAAAGACAGTAAAGCCTGAGAGTAACGGTTATATGAGTGTTGACCAGTTTGGAGAGGAAGCCAGAAGCAGAAGGGCCTCCCAAAGCCATGGCGTTGTATGTGATCCCAGAACAGAGCATGGAAAGTGAGCCCAGGGTTCTTGCTGCTGCAGAGAAGTGGAAGTACATATTCAATGTCTGTCTCTCCTCCTCCATGACGGCAGAGAGCTTGTTTGGCTGACTTACCAACTAACACTTGACACTAGTGTCCAGCAAACAGGGAGGGTGTGGGCTGCATCTTATGATAAAAAGTATGCAGATGGAAAATGAGACATAAAACATTAATGAATGCATGAAATGTCATTGTATGCACACAACTTTGAATCATATAAGCCATTCTCCAGAAATTAACAATTCATTAAGAATTGCATAATGTCTAAGCTAGCAGGACACATGAAATATTCACCAGGATGCTGGTGACTGGAGGAGGACATCAGGATGACCTTGTTTTCAAGTCAGGGTGAAAGGAAGAATGGTGACACTGAGCTTAGTAAGGCAGGAAGGTGGAGCAGTAGAAGAATGATCTAGAATACCTTCTCTCTAGTGCATGGTCCTCCCTAGCTAGACCTTTTTGTGTAATATTTACCTCTGTGATACATGTGATCCAGTGTTAATGATTACTATGTATATGGTATAATTACTATATATAATTACTATAGTTACTCAGTGACTGAGCCATTTGAGTTGTGACTGTGACCATAGTTTAGATTCTCAGTGAGTGCAGGGCAGGGTTCACATTCCCTTTGATTGTTGGGAACAAATTAGGTCCCTGAACCTGGGTTAACTATGAAAAATTTCACCCCCTCCCCAGTACTGTTCAACCCCCAGACTGTACTATGTGGCTCTCCCCTAACAGGGCAGGAAAAGAATCCAACATGGAAACTGTTCTCCTCCTACCAGGAAGTGGAGTCAGTAGCATAAGAGAGAAAGGAGCCACTTTCATTTCAGTGTCTGGAAGTCACTTTCCAGAAGCAAAGTGGCAGCCAGGTGAACCCAACGACGGACAGTGATGGTAAGCCCACACAATGCCCTGCAATTTCATTTTCTTTAGAATTAAATAAATTTTACTTGTATCAAACTTCCTTCTGGGTGGTTTTCCTATTCTTAAAGTTTTGCCCCTTACCCATGACATTTGATTCCGTATTATTTGCGGAAGGCTCAGATGTTCGGATAACCAGCAGCTTGCTTAAATCTGAAGTTCCCTGAACCTAAAAGGAGAAAAGTCAAAGTTAGTCAAGAGTATTCTTTTCCTAACCTTTCCAAATGATATAAGAAATAAGCCATCCCCTGGAGCTAGGCCTCCAACCTAAGCGCTATCATGTTAATTTCAAATCCTCTTTTATGTTGTTTCAAGAAGTCTGGGACCAACAAATTATCCTCTGCATACTTTGAGACACCAGAGGGGAATTTTCCACCCCTTGTCTCTAAACAGACTGGAAAGTCTCAGTTTGGAAAAAGGAGACTCCCCAGTGTCTGCCGAGTTTCTTTTATTCATACATTGACCTTTATGGGCTTTGGCCCAGTCACCCCAGATGGCAACGCAGTCAGTTCTTGGAGCTTTTGCCCTGCACACCACAGAACCTTCAAGAATGCAAGTAGCAGCCAAGCAACAAATAAACTTTCACCACCAGAGACCACACATTTCTCCTTTAATCCTCACAATGACCAGGTCCTGTGACTGCTATTATTACCCCTGTGTCAATAATAGGCAACTGAGATCAGATTACCTGTTCTCACCAGGGTCAGGTTCAAATCTGAGCGTGCCAGTGACTTATCACACTAAACTGTGGGTGGTGCTCACCTTCTGCATTCCCACCCCTTGTTTCATACCTAAAGAGATTTCCATTTTATGTTCTTTAAAAAATACACATATTGAGAGCCCGCCCGGGGGGTGCAGTGGGTTAAAGCACAGCACTTCAAGCTAGCAGCAGCCGCTTCAGTGCGAGTTCAATCCTGGGCCCTGAAGGTGACCACATGGTGCAGCAGACCTCTCCTGACCCGCCCGTTGCTCCCCTCAGCAGTCTGCCTGTTCTGCTCCCCACTCTGTGCTCTCACCACCCCTGTGCCTCTGGCCTGTACCCCAGTTCTGTATAAATAAATCTTTTTAAAAATTAGATATATATATAAGTTATTATTGTCCTCTGAATTGTTGAGAGGTATAAAATAAGAATATGGCAAAAATATTTTGAATAAAATAAGAATATGGCAAAAGGACTTTGTAGGTCATTTCCCAAACTTTCCAGGATAAAATTTCTCATTTAATTAGTGACCTTCCTCAGCATGATCAGACAGAAGGAATCTTTCCCAGTGGGAGAAAATTGATACCAGATTCAAGAGCTGTCAGCTCCTCTCACTCTTCTTGACGCCCCCTCTATCCTGTCACCCCTATGATTCAACAGCTGGTTATCTATTTCAAGGTCTATTTCTTCTCTTCCCATCCCTGCTATACCTGAGGTGTTCACACCTCTCTCATCCTCAAACAGGCACGGAACAATGAGGCCCAGCCATCCCGTAGTATCCACAGCTCTCAACATGCAACAGAGCAAACAGACCTCTATGTGTCCCTTCTTATTATAAAAGGAACAGTGAGGCGCAACCTCCAAGACATGGGCGATGCTCATAGCCAACTCCACAGCAGAAGGCAGAGCTTTCCAGACTTCACCCTTCAGGGCTGATGGAAAATAGGGGTAGGGCTGGAGCTCTAGCAGTTAAACTGCCTTTGATGAGAAGTGTCTGGAAGTGTCTGGTCACTTGTGGCTTTACCTTGGGCTTGAGTTCTGGTCTCTGCTCAACAGACACTATCTGACATGAGACAGATAGCATCTGGCCATGTATCAGCTAATAATTTTTCTATCTCTTTTTTTGCTCTCTCTTACCATCCCCTTTCCTCACTCCCTGAGTAAATAAATTCTGTAATTGTTGTTTCTCCCTATGTGTCTGCTTTTAAGTCATGTTCTGCTGGGGAGCATATAGATGCAGACCCAACAATTAGGTCAGCTGCAGTTCCCTGGTTTGTCCAGTTTCACTATCAGCCAGTGCAGAAACTTCCAGAACTATAGTAGCATACAGTATCACCAACTGCTTTCGTGGGAACTGGTAACAATGCACTGATCCTTCTCTGGGAAAGCCTAGAGAAAGATGTCCAATGCCAGAACAAATGACTTGGCAAACACAGAGCAGATTCCAGACCCAGATGTCCTTAGGTTGCCCCTGTGGGCAGGACACAAACAACAGGACAGTACACTGGAGCCCTGGGTACATGCTGACTTTTTTGCTAAGGGTGTGTCAGAACGAAAGAATCTTTTCAAGGTAAATTTCTTTTTGAAAATGGTCAACTGAGTTTTAAAGTCACTTATTGGGCACCATTGAAAAGCAAATCACCTTTCAGAAATTATTCTCCTTACCTGTTCACAAGTTTTAGGTAAAATGCAAGGTGCAAAATAGGGTGCCTCTGTCTTTGTATCAATCACACTGCCATACACAATGATAATAAACTTCATGGTCCTATCGTCAACAGTCATTTCATTATAGCTTGACAAAGTCTCCACATATGCAAGACTGAGCGTCACACATTTCTGGAAATTTAAATCCTAAAATAAAAGTACATTTTTCTATAAGTCATACAAAAGGATAACTGGACTCAAGAAAATAGCAAATTTTCTGAGTTAGCTGAGTTCTTTGAGTTTGTCATAATGCCTCTGGCAAGATTATGAATTCCAACTTGCTGTTGTTGTTTAGTAAATTTGTTTGTTTTCTTGCACTGTTGTTAACTTGCAGGTAGTATTTGATTTCTCCCCTCAGGTGTTGTCCCGTAGACCTCCCACCACCATCATAGTATCCATGAACTGTCACTTATGTCCTAATTAAAAGGGGAAACTTGGACACAGATACGAAACACAGTCAAGAACTCCACATGAAGGTGAGGACAGCTATCTAAAGCCAAGGATGGAGACTGGGCCTGACTCTCCCTTCTGTAGGAATCAAACCTGCCAGCAACTTGACTTCAGGTATCTATCCTTGAGAACTATAAGACATCATATTGCTGTCATTGAAGTCTTCTAGTTTGTGGTATTTTATTATGGGCACCCCAGAAAACTCATTTAATGGCTGAAATCTCCTGGACATGCCCAAGGCAGGGACCCTCAGGCCACTCTGAACATCTCCAGCCACAGGGAGTGCACGTTGACATGACCTAGCCTTCAGACCTTGGTCTCTACAGGCAAATTAAATGTTTAATTTTGAGGACACCAGCACAGCTGAAGTACCAAAATCAAAAGAAAATTAGTTGATTTGGTGATGGGAAACCCAAGGGGATTGAAACTGAGATGGGAAAATGCACAAAAATATGTAAACATAAACTATTATAAAATTAAAAAAAGAAAATTAGTTAACTTATCTAGAATTTTGTAGCCAGAAAATCTAAAAAATAATCCATTTTAGTTTTCAAATGTACATAAATTTCAAGTTGTATAATTAAGAAGGTGAAACATAATTCTTTTAGGAGGTAACAGTTCTAAAAAGTGTTCATTAGTTCATTCTTTTATGGAAAAATACTAGAAGGCAATAAACCAGTGTTAAATTGAGATTCTTTGGGGAATAAAGCCGGGGTAGAAGTTTATTATGTTTGTATTTGTGTTTTCTTTTTTATATAATGAGTACATATTGATTGTATTTTTTTTTTTAATGAATGGACATCCATCTTATTGAATGAAGTCTGACTCCATGGAACATCAACCTATTGATCCTAATTCTCTCTTTTGGAGTTTCACATTAAACAATGCTAAACTTATCCTACTACTCGTGAAGAAGTAAGGCCAAAGGAAAAGAAAAGAATATAATTCTTTTTACCCTTCTGCTAATTTTTTTTCTGAAAATCATTGGCATTGAGTAAAAGAAACATGCTTGCTAATATGCTTAATACAACTTGTTAATTATTTTTAAGATTTAGTTTTTAGAGCATGTAGGTTCACAGCAAAATTAAGAGAAAGATACTGAGACTGTACATATACCCCCTGCTTTCCACATGCATAGCCTCCACTGTTATCAACATTCTCCACAAGAGTATATTTGTTATAAATGACAAACTATCAGTTATAACAAAGTCGCGTTTCCTTTAGGATTCAGTCTCAGTCTTGTATAATGGCATTCATCCATCATTAGACTAACATACAGAAAACTTTCATTACCCTAAAAATTCTCTGTGATCTGCCCATTGTTCTCTCCCCAACCCAACTCCTAGCAACAATTTATTTAATACTGATCAGCACAGCTTCACCTTGTCCAGAATATCCTATAGCTAGAATCATATAATATGAAGTCTTTTAAGATGGCTTCTTTCAGTTAGAAATATGCATGTAAGTTTCTTCCAGGTCTTTTCAGAATTTGATAGCTCATTTCATTTTAGTGCAAATAATATTCCATTGTTTGGATGTACCACAGTTTATTTATCCTGTCATCTCTATAAGGACATCTCCAGTAAGTCATAAATGAAGTTTCTATAAACACTATTGTAGGGTTTTGTGTGGATATTTTGTGTGATATTTATCACTAAGTCAGTATCAAGGACCATACTGCATGGATTGTATGGTAATAGTATGGAAATAAACTATCTTCCCAGGTGTAGTGAATGAATATACATTCCTATTGTTGCACAACACTAGCATTTGGTTTTGTTAGTGTTCTGAATTGTGGACATTCTAGTAGGTGTATTGTATCTTATAGTTGTTTTATTTTGTATTTCCCAGATAACATACGATAGGAAGCATCTTTCATGTTTCTTTGCAATCTTTACTATCTTTTTTGATGGGGTATCTGCCAAGACTTTCGACCTACATTTTAATTGTTTCCCTATTGAGTTTTAAGACCTTTGTGTATTTCAAATAACAGTTTTTCATCAGATGTGTCCTTTGGCAAATATTTTTTCCAGGCTGTACTCGCTTTTTCGTTCTCTTGAGATAGTTTTATTTTAAATTCAACACTGATACCCAGTCTGTCAAATCAATGAATATTATTGAGTTATAGGTATTTCACCTCCCCAGCTCCTGAGTCCATAGTAGGAGCTCAAATAATTATTAAATAGAATATAAATATTATAAATTTTGCCAGTGCAAGAACAAACTCAAACCACTATTATTTTAGAGAGAAAAATTCACAGAATAGGCTCATTTGTTCCAGTAAAGTTTTTTTTTAAAGCAGGAGATTCACATTAACACAGGTAGAGTACTATTGTAAACATCAGACTGTTTAATGAATCCATTCCTATGTTATGCTTGGTTCTGGGAGCTCTATTTAATATTTGCTGAATTTTTTTTAAGGGATGACCTCAAGTAGCCTTAGAAAGCTAACTGTAGCTATAGAATTGACAACAAACACAACCTTCTTTTTTGCCTTTGCCTCTACCATATGAAATACATTTTTGTAAAAAACAATATAGTAGATAAAAGTTCATTTATATATTAATTATGTAACTTACTTCATCAATGAGACTTGACTCAAAATACTGATAGGCAATACTGAGAGCAAGCTTTAGCCATATTTTATATTCCAGGGATGGCCAGAAGACATCAAAGCCTTCATATAAGTCCTCCAGAGAGATAAAGCAGGCCTGAAAACACAAGGTATCAAACAGAAACTTAATTGGAATTAAATTACATCATAAAATAAAATGCCTATGGATTCAATCTTCATTTAACCTCTTAGAAAAACTGACTCTAGCATAAGTATGATTCTTAGTCATTTAAAAGCATGGACTGTACAGAGGCTGTTTCTATGGATAAGATGCTAACATTTAATCAAGTTAAAGGCTTAATACTAGTCCAGGAAAATTCACATCACTCATGAGCTATGATAAAAGAGATGGTTCATGAGCCTAAGAACCAGGACCTGAGCCACATCAATTTATCTATTTTTATTGTAATAGCAGGTAAAAGCATTCATCCCCAGTGCTTCTTCTAGAGGCAAACTCCTTCCCTCAACAAGGAACACCACTTGTTCAGAATCCCAGTTGAATGAACTTTAATGAGTCCAGTTCAGCCTTGATACCATGTTTCTGTCCTCTTCTAGAAATGAAATAGTATGAAACTTATAAAACAACAATCTCTTTGGTCCCTAAGATTTTGGATCCTGCTGCATTGCACTTTGGCTCACTTAAATTTGAATTCCTCGTGCCTAGAATTTTATGTAGGTATTTTCTTAATCTTCGTAACAGTAAAAGTTAGGAGAAAAATCAAATACTATCCAAAAATTAATGATGGTGTAAGGAAGTAAATAATTTAACTTAAATTTAAAAAAACATAACATAAAAAGCTAGATATTCTCTTTAAATAAACAAGAACATTAAGACTCAAAGAAGCTAAAATATCTCAATTCCAGCTCCCCACTCAGGATGTGAGACACTAAAATCTCCCTTAGCTAAGCTGCTTCCCAGTAACTGGTTGGATGACTCAATAAGATATCAAAACCCAAAGGAAGGAAAGATATTGGCATTCCTTATTTACTTGAGGAACAAGTAACTAACAGCCATGGTACTGACAACACCAGTTTCTTACCTGTAAAGTAGTTTCACAGATGGCAGTATATTCTATTTCATGCTTAAGCAGACAGCTCAACTCTCCAATTATGTCTCCACTGGTACAGTATTCTGTAAATATGGTTTTGGACTCCGTATCAGGCCTTAAACCAAGGTTTACTCCAAAGGTAGGAAGTGGACTGTGCAACTACAAAAGGCAAAAACCATGCAAAAGGAAGTAACAAAATTTAAAATATTTGACTATGTCATAGCAGTTCCCACTACTCTCATGCTTACTACAGCTGAAGGAAAAGATTTCTCTATGAATCCTTTCAGGTTTCAAAACAGAAGCAGGCTTCATAAAAATCATGGTTTCTTTCACATTTCAACTGTCCAAGACAATAAGACTATTCCAATCTTTAGCTTTACAGATGACCCCTTTTTATAACTTTCTACATATACCTTCCTAATATAAATAAAAATCCCACCAAACTAGTAATTCTAAGTAGTTACACACTTAGAAGCTACTAAATATTCTAGTGCCTTAGAGGGCAAACAACTTATGAATGCAAGGATGCATAAATCAGATGTAATGAATTAATTGGCCTCTAAACCAAGCCATGACTTCAATTAAAAAAAAATCCCTGTTTGTTTTCCTTTATAACTTTTAAAAATAAGCACTTTGCATCATATGACATCAACCAAAAACAGTTTAGAAATGCCACAATGATGGTATTCTCTTCAGGAAAAGAACTAGTAAGAACAAGTAGCCATGGGTGGAGAAGAAAAAAAGCTATCAGATTTCAGGAGGAAGCCTCCGCAGAAATGTTAGTTGTAAACATCAAAGAGGAAGGCTATTGTTCAGGATACAGGAAACAGGGAACAGAGAGTCACTAATTATGTTGCTGTGAAAATTGCACTCCCATCCTATTGATCCCCAACTCAGAGTTTTAGACGCATTTGTGCTTCAAAAAACTGAATTTTTTTTATTACTTAATTTTGAATCCAATTCAGAGGCCCTTTGGAAAATGGCTCTGCTTTTTATAAACCAAGAAGATAACATCTATGGTAAGCACAATTCTAAAGAAGTCCTTCCAAATTCCTCTCTTTGTTATTCAACCAAGCATTTATCTAAATATTTCTGTGAAAAGACTTTACAGGCCCTCCCTGGTGGCGCAGCGGGTTAAAGCACAGCACTGAGAAACTAAAGCCACTTCCACATGAGTTCAATCCCCGCCTGCCCCGAAGGTGACCATATGGCGTGGCAGACCTCTCCTGACCCGCCCGCTGCTCCCCTCAGCAGTGTACTTCGTCGATCTGCCTGTTCTGCTTCCCGCTCTGTCTCTGGTGAATCCTCTCGCCCTCCGCATCTCTGGCCTGTACCCCAGTTCTGTACAAATAAATAAATAAATCTTTAAAAAAAAATACTTTACAGCTAAAATTAATGTTACTAATCAGCTGATTTTATTTTTTTAAGATTTATTTATTTATGCTACAAGAAGTGGGGTACAGGCCAGAGGTGGGGGAGGTATAATCATCTAATTTTAAAGAGATGGTTCTGGATTATCCTGGGGGACCCAATATAATTATTTGAGCTCTTATAAGTAGAAAATAGAACCAGTCACAGAGAAGTATTCCAACATGAAAAACATTGGAAAGGATGAACCCTGAGATGTGTGTATTTGCAAGCACCTCAAGGTGGGTTCCAGCAGAGGACGTACAAAGAAGCACGGACATCTGTCCTACAGCTTTAGGAACTGGATTAGTCTGAAAACCTTAAGGAACCTGAAAATTAATTCTGCCCACAGAATTTCCAAAAAGGAATGCAACCTGTAGACCCCTTGATTTTGTCCTGTGAGGTTCAAGCAGGCAAAAAGCTAAGTTACAGAAGTTCTGAACAGTGCTGTACGATTGAGATAATAAACCTAAATCACTAAATTTATAGTGGTTTGTTATAGCATTTAGAGAATACTAAAATGAAAAATTCAGCCCAAATATCATTGGACTTATGTTTTAAGAAGCCTTAGTTAGTTCAGATATTACAGGAAATTTCCCCAAATTAACTGCAACTTTGATGTATTTGGTTTGATATATTTAATAAATACTGGTAGCACTATATTTTGGTTATGATTCTAATGGTAACATAGCACTAAGCCCATGGTTCCTAATAAAGGCAGTACAGTGCCATGGCTGAGCACATGGAGGCTGGAAGAAGACTTCATGGTTCAACCTCTTAGTAGGTACCTTTAGGGTCAAGTGAATTATTTTCTCATGCAAAAAAAAAAATCAAAAAAACAAGTTATTATAAGAATTCAATGCCAGAACAGACTATGACTAACTTCTTCATCTATCACATCTCACATACTACACAACTTACTTTATTATTTTGTTCATTGCCCCATCTCCTTGCAGGATAGTTACAAGGAAAAATTAGTGACTATGAAAGCATTTTGTAAAATATGAAGTACTTTCCAAATGTTGGGTATTTAACGCCCAGCTATTGTGGCCACTCTGAGCAGAAATAGCTTCATTTGGAAAATGATAACTGCATTAAAAGATTAGAATTTTTTGGCTCTTAAATTTCTCCTTATGTTATAATTATACATTTCAAAATACATTTTCAGTAAGAATAAATGATCCCTTACAATTGCCATCCCCGAAATAATTAAGTAGATCCCTTGTGGCATTTCACCTTCTTTACAAATGATATCTCCATAATCAAAATAGGCAAGTTTAGCTCTTTCCTGAAAGAAAGAAAAAAAGTGAATTCAAAAATATCACATTGACTTTTCTAAATGGAAGTGTTTAAAGCTAAAATGCCTTTCAAGTAACATGAAAACACAATTACATTCTTCACTTTGTTAATAAATTACTACGTGCTGACATACCATTATCAACTTTTAGATAGAAAGAGACAAGCAAGCAAGTTTGTGATTAAAACCTCAATAATCTGACAGAAATACTCAATACAAGTTTATGTAATAAAAGAGTGATTTAATGAATATCTCTCCAATATTGTCATCACCTCCTAACCAGTCTTCTTGACTACCTTGTCACATTTCTACTAGTCCAATATTGCCTCCAGGATTGCAATCACCTCCGAAGTGGTCTCTCTGATTTGCCCCATAGCTCAACATAACAGCAGGATGGTCATTTTAACATGCAAATTAGATGATGTCACTTCTCTGTTTAAAATCTTCCTACAGGTTTCCTTTTCATTCAGAATAGAAGCCTAAGTCCTTGAGTTTCATGGCCGACAAAGTTCTACAAACTTAGGTTGTCTACAAACTGCTCCAATTTCCTTTCCTCTCTTCATTGCTGCATCATGATCCTCTGTGGTGTTACCAAAACACAACAAGCACATTTCACCTCAGGACTTGCCTGAGTTGCTCTTTTCCCAGAAATCTAGGTGACCTGCTCCCTCAATTCTTTCAGATTTTAAATGTCACCACATTGGAGCAGACTTGCCTGGCACCCCATACATATGGCTGCTCAAACATATCCCCTCTTTTACCTTTTCTCCAGAGCTTTTATTAGTAATCTGGTACATTATGCATTTATACACTGGTATGTTTATTACTCTTAATCATCTTTATGCTATCAATTCCATGGAAGAAGAGATCTCATTTATTTTATTCATGCGCATATCCCCAAACCTAGAGCAATCTCTGGCACATAGAAAGTAATAAATATTTGTTGAAAGAGTCCACGCTCTTCTAGTTGAACACTCAGCTGACTTTAGACAGAGCATGATCTTTTGAATACAAGACAAAATTTACTTTTTTTCCCTATATTCAGCTGGTTTTGCTTTTATATCATTTGCCTGGCCTGTGTGGTAATTTAAATTTGAGACTGCTTTTCAAAACAAAAAGTCTTTTCCAAAGCATGCACCTGAAAATCCAGAGCTCTCTAACATAAAATAAGGTGGATTTGGTAGTAACAGGCTAACAGAGATAGTGCATCTTAAATAGACAATGGGGAAAATTATTTTTGTTTTTCGGTTTAAAATAAAATCTACTCCTCTGGGTTTTGTTGAGTCATTCATTTTGAGTTCCCTTCATTAATCATTACAGGATTCTTACTTGAATTTACATCAATCTTGCATTAGTGAGTCAAAAAAGAAAAAAAAAAGGAAAATAATTATCATCTGACTTGAGTCAGGATAGGAAACAGAATCTTTACCTTGAAGAATTCAATAAGAACATCTTTATTTTCCAGCCAAACAATATTATGAAGATATTTCTCAGGAGTGGGGAGTGGAATGGACATTGGAAAGTTATTAAGTGCCTTTATTTTTAAAAGAAGTACCTAAAAACAATCAAATAATAGCAATCAGATTTCATAACAGAAAAGGAACATTATAACCTTGGAGTGATGACTATATCTCCCTGGCTGGCAAGTAAGCACTTAGTAGGCAATTAAGTAACTGCTGAAGATGGATTTACCAATTACCTTTCTAATTAGACCTACAGGGGGAATATAGATATATATATCTCCACATCTCCACATAGGGGCTATTATTTCTTTCTTTTAATTAATGGGCATCAAACAACTGAATCTTATATAGCCTTCAATGTGATATATGAAAAAAACAGAATACAAACCACAGTGCTTGGAGAGGTGTAACTTGAGGGGTGCAGTAAAGTAGTACGTTGCTTCCTGTCAGGCTAGAGAGTCATGCTTTGTCATTATGTTATGGAAACCAAAGGACAGAAACTGGAGGAGGAAATACGTTCTGTCCTATATTTCTTTTGGGACCATGGTGAGGCGACTCTGTCCAGGAAATGGCTGGAACACGGCATGTGGTGGCTGATTGCGAGGAACTGTCATGACAAGGAAAAGCCTAGGACACCCAAGAGTAGCTTCTCAGCAGACCTGGAGCCAGACAAAATGTAGGACCAGAACTTCCATTTCTGCTGTATGCTAACAAGTGGATAAACCTTTGTACAGAATAGAACAAAATGTTCTCATCTGCATAGATACACTGCCTGGATGCAAATGTGATAGGGTGGTAAAGTGCAAACATTTAATAACTTTTTCCTCTGGCCTATGTTCTTGACTTTTTTTTGCTAAATATATTTATAATTTTTCAGAAATTCATTTGTCAGGTAAGAGTGTCTCTCAAAACTGTCCCCTCCACAACTTATACACACACACACACTCTCTCTCTCTCATATCACAGATTGGTTATCTCCCTACCACGTCAACTTATATGACTCCAATCTCCGTTGTCACAGCTGGTGGGACTGGACAGCACATGTTCCTCTAGTGGTTAGAGAACCGAAAAATCAGGTAAATTTGCTGAGGGAGTCAAAGGAAAATGCCATAGAGATGGCAACGCTAATAGGTCTTTCTTCTAGTCCCTTCCTGAGGCCTGGCCACATAGCCTGACTACTGTGTTCTGTAAGGTACTCTATGTCCTATTGTTAAGTCCTCCAACCTCATTTCTTTGCTAAACCCAGTCAACCTGGTTTAGATTGTGTCACTTGCAACCAAGAAGTTTTGACATGGAGTACCCCAAATAGCACCAGCACTAGTCGTCTTTGGCATTAACAAAGGCTGTAGGCAAATTACAGACTCAGCATCTGAGGTTAGTCACTCTCCCAATCTCTCTCACTCATTACACTCTGCCAAAGTAACAGGGAAGCCTGGGGTGTTGGGCTAATGAACTCAAACAATATAGAAAATTGCTTTATTACCTTATTAATTTCTATGCCTTCGTGTTTATCAATGATGCCTCTTGACCAAAGGAAGGTGAGGTTCTTCAGAGCTTTAGCAATCACATTCTGGATAGCCTGCTTAGTCTTCAAAGCAATGACAACATCACGACATTCATGTTCTATAAGTCCTAAAACAAATGAAACTGTCAGCAAACAAGCTACACGATAATCACAATAATAACTAGTATATGTGGAATCACTTATAATTTCCAAAGTATTTTTGCAATATCCTCTCATTACTGTTTTAGAACTTATGTGATCAGTGTGACTAGAGTATTTTCCATCAACACTTGATGGGTAAGAAAATTGAAAACTGGCTTCCCCCACCAGATAAGAGAAAAATTGTTGTCTACTTTCTTGTCATCCCACGTTTCACCTATCTCCGTTAAATAACTCATTATTTTATTGTATTCTTGTTTACTCTTTTGTTTCACCATCAGATTAAATAATTTGGGGGGAGAGGAGAGTGAGTGAAGAGATGATTAAATACCAAAGACTCGACTTTGGCTGGTGGGTCTTGCTGAGATCAAATAGCATATTCTTTCCTTTTTAATAAACATGAAAAGTCATGGACTGGATTGAGAGTCAACACTAAAATCGAGTCTTTGTAATCATAGCATTAGAATAAAGCCTGTGATGTCAAATTGATCCCCCACAAAATGTTCAAACAGGCTTTTTCCAAGATGTCTAGAACTGTTTTTTTCTATCATGTGTCACCTTATGTGAAACTAAAGTATGTGGAACTAAAGTTAACCAAGGCCCTCATGAGCTTAGGAGAAACTACAATATTACCACAGTCTTAAAGAATGTAGATTACCTAGATTTAGGATCAGCTTCATATATAACCTTTATGTCCAAGAAAAAGGCAAGGGAAAAACCCCTTAAGGCAAGGTTTTATTATATGAAGTCATTCCATCTTTGTCATGTGAGAATCCCTCCTCTTTCCTTGATACCCCAGGTGCCTACCCCATTCCTTAGTACAATATATAAGCTCTGATATGTCCCTCTTACTTTAGAATGTATAGCCATGTAAATGCTTCACATGTATACAATTAGATTCAATCGTTTCATCTACTAATCTGTCTGTTAATTTGTTTGCTCATCTACCCAACCCCAAAGGGGTGGGAGAATTTTCTTTCTATTGTGCTCCAACACCTGACACCTAAAAGATGATCAATCATTTTTTAAACTGAGATGTGCTGAGCAGTAAAGTGGAGGTCAGCATGATCAAGCACACATGTCTTGTGTCAGAGACACATTTGCATGAAATCTGTCTCACTACTTTCTAACCTTGTGACCTTTGGCAAGTGATACATTTTAAGCCTCACTTTCACATCCATAATATGAATACTATAATAGTATTTGCTTCAAGGGTTAAATGAGATAACATAGTTCCTGGCATAATTAGCATTAATAAGCTGTTGTAGTGACCATGTGAGAACAAGCATTCTGTTTTAGAGAACTGAAAAAGGCAGCAGCTTCTAGTTCCCTAATCTTTAAAAGCACAGAAATAAAAATCTGCCTGCATGTAAATAGTGATCCTAGGTCCTGGATTATCTGAGAAAATACCAAAATATTTTGACCTATTGTTTCATTCAGTATACCATGTTCTTTCCATTTTGATTTGGAAAGTATGATCCTTATGTGGCATTTTACAATTTGGTTATAAATGTAAATGTTTTTACCTTTTTTGGTAGTAATTTCATTTATTAAGGGCTTATCATATGCCAGACCCTCTAGCAGATACTTTGGCGCATCTTGGGAGCCTAACCCTTAGGCCCCTTATGAGGAGACAGACCCCAAAACAGCATGAAATACTAGGGCTCCTGCTGTGTGGTCTTCAAGCTAGCAGAGTGAATTAGGTATTCAAGAAATAGTATCTCTTCAAGGCCCACATTCCCGAGTATCCTTACAAAGCAAAAAAGAAACTCTCCTTGTCAAAGGCAATTTTTGTGCCTTTTTATAATCATAAGGCATCTAAACTTGTCAGCCCCTCAGACAGCTGTACTCCTCTAACTTTATACAATAATATATTGGTTTATTCATAACCTTCACCAGGCACTGCACTTTTTGTATGTCCAATAAATATTTATTGAGTGAGTGAGTGATTCAATTAGAATATTAATTTATTTTCTTTTGGTTAGATTACAGGATAGGAAAATATGATTCAGGAAATCAAATACTCCAATTACCTACCTAATTCTTTGACAGCATCTCGTTTGTTGGTTTCCAAAATGTCAAACAATTTCTGCAAGAAATTAAGAAAGCATTCAGTTCTTACCATAACAAGTGCATTTGTGGCTTTAGAATCTGGGAAATCTCACTTCATTTATGATTTGCTTCTCAAAACCATATTGGGCCCAACGATTTCCTGTCGATTCTTTGGCTTGGCCCATGCTCATGCTCAAATTACAGTGAATGCTCTGCAGTCAGTTGCTTACATAACTACTATGCCTAGCATTTCTCATAAAAGATTAATGTGCACTCATTCCTTCATGTACCCCATGAGAATAGTCCTTACTAGAATCCCAACAAATGAGCAGCTGTCTGGGGATCCAGTCTATCAGGAGCAAAAAGTGCATAGAGGAATGAGAAAATATGGTGTCAGTTAGTTCGTGTCTCCTACATATAACTCCTGATGTAAATGAAGACTCAGTCCCACTCCTGGGCTAACCACCTTCTATTCACTCATAACACGGGTATCTGTCAAAGGCCCACCCAGTCCCAGGCACTGCTCTTTAAGGAGCTTAGCTCCAGCTGTGAGCATTTCTGGGCCTACACTAGCCTTCCCAACAATCCTAAGACCAAACAACTTCCAGGACCCAAGGAGTGTCAGGCATTGAAAGCCTGCACTCATAAAACACATGGCAGAGTGCTCCTTACAGGAAAAAATGATTTGTTATCTAACCTCAAGCAGTTCAAGTTAAGTTTTGTTATTTGAATTTAGAAAAACCACCTGCAATCAGACCCTCATTTTGAATATTAGAATGAGGTATACAGAATGTTACACATGACACTTAAAATAACCATCATGCTGCTAAATCGCTACATGACCCAGAGTGGACAGAATGGAATAAGGCAACCTAGTTAGGTGGTGCGTCATTGCAAGACTAAGGTCCTAGCGAGCTGATGCCCTCATCTCCATTTGTACTTATTTGATACTACTTAGAAATGTGGAATGCCTGGAATGATAGAAAACAATCAATGCTACTACTTATCCACTCCATCCTCAGTACCAGCATATCAAGTTTTCACAATCAAATTTTTGCTCTTTGCCCCACTTTCTTCTTCTCCATTCCAAATGGCCCTTTATTTGAAGCCATTTTCAAATCTCAACTCCAACTGCAGCCTTTCCCAAATGCCCTGCTGTTTAGAGTGTTACAAAGACTGATGGGATCTCTTCTCTACTCTCCACTCAAAAAATACTTAGTCGATGCTTTTCTGTGAGGATTGTGACTTTGATAAGGATAGCCAACACTTAAAGAGCAGAGATATTCTCTGCATCACCTCTTGTAACATAACAATTGGATCCCATTCACTTTGCAGTTGCTTTCTTGTATTAAATACACCCAGAAATAGTACTAAAAGAAATGAATACATCTCATTGATTTTTCCCCCCAAATGACCAGTGTTTGTCTCTTACCTGATATATTGATTCTCGGCTAGAAATCTGTTTTATTAAAAATTTGGTATCATCTTGACTTTTGACATAACCTTTTGTAATACTATACATTAAGCTAAGGCGCTTTTTGATCTGCACATCCACAATATTTATCAGTAGTGGTATCATTATCTGGAAACATGAAGGGGGGTGAAAAATGAAAATTTGATGAAGAAAAAGGTCCTGTACTGGACCAGCAATAGCGTCACCCAGGGAATCACTAGAATTGCAAATTTTTGCACCTCACCCCAGAGCATAGCAAACAGCACTCTGGGTTTGGGGCCCCCAAATTAGCATATTAACAAGTCTCCCTGGCCACTCCCTAAAATGAAAGCTCAATGAAAAACTGGTATGGCCACTTTAAGGGGACATCCCTATTTCTAACCTCCCCTCCCTTTTTTCTACACACCCAGATTTTGGGAGATCAGAGAGGTGATCCCATTATGTGGGTGAGAGTGATCAACTGAATAAATTATCTCTGAGCACCTCAGTTTCTTCACATGTAAGATAAGGATTTAGGAGTCCAAGATCCTTCCTAGCTCTTAATTTTTCAAGTCATAAGCTGAAAGTAAGAGAGGATGACAAGTGGAGAAAATGAAAAAAACCTCCCTGGGTTCAAATCCAGCTCTCCAATTCTCTGGCTCTGTAACCCTGAGCAAGTTTTTTAGTGGACTAAGTTATTTTGAGCACTAAGTCTCTTCTGCAAAATGAAGAAAATATCTCAGTACCAGCATTCCTGTGGAGCTATTCCCCACAACAGAAGTCAGTCATAGAGACAGAGTCTTGGTGGAGTGTGAGGCAGAAGTGAAGGTCTGGGAACATAGGAGGAAGAAGGGGACAAGAAAAGGGCACTGTTGAGAAGTAGCTATAAGAAAAGAGAAAGATTTTTTTTAAGTTACTGTCTTGGTTGTAAAACTTTGGGTAGGAGGATTGATATGCACCGACACCCTGGAGCATCAAGAGTATCTAAGGATCGCCAATTTTCTTCCAAGCTTTCCAAAAACAGATTAATTTCTTTTGAAAACTAGACTATGCTGGAACTGGTTCATATATGAAGTTACCTAAGTGTATACAGTAGAGACAATTTCTTCATAGGACAGTCAGAATAATGTAACTAGCTAAGGTACATAAAGTGTTCTGCCCAGTGCCAGGAACATAGTAAATGCTCTTTTTTTTAAGCTGATCATGATTGCATTAATTCCTTAAATAGACTTCATTGAGATTTTTCAGAGAGTACTAGACAGAAATGACAATTTTTATTTCACTCAGAAACTTTTCACAAAGTACCACTTGTAAAATAATTATTTTATATTCATGTGCATAAGAGCACTATGGAAAATCAATTGCCTGAGAAAATGTCTACATTCTATTTAAAGACTTAGGTTCCTATTAAGTAGTTTATGTTACAGTGTGATTACATCTTATATGTATATTTTACTCTAAACAGCTCTCAAGGGAAAAACCATAATCAAAAGTATTCCTTAATACTTTTGTATATATAACTCTGTACAGTTATGTATGCTAAGGTTTGCTAGCATTAATATAAATTTAAGAAAGGAACAAGAAAAGTCTATAAGCTGTAATCTGGGCTATAAACAATTCTATCTTTTGGATAACTTTACAATTCTTGGAGAAGGGGGCCCAGATGGAGGATTCTAATGTATGCCTTTTGCCGTGGGGATTTATAAAAAAAAAAAATTAATATCAAGTCTCCATAACTTCAATACATGTGAATAGCTTTATTTGTTGTAATAAGAATTTTTTTTAAAAAATGAAATGGAAAGTGAAATCACCTAAAGTTCCCAAATTACATATTCAACTCTACTGGATTGTATATAACATAATGTATATAACACAACCCCACTGGAGAGAGAAAAGAGGTTTAAGAGGGGAAGTTGAGGCTTACCTTCAAAATCAAAAAAAGAGGTATGGGCAGAAGGAATAGCACTGGTTAAGGGAGATTGAAGGCCATGGGAAAACGAAAATTCCATAGTGTTCTATATGAGTGTGAGCTGTAGAGAAAATATTTTTTACCTTTTTGCAGTTTGGGCTTTATGAGCAAACTTTTCTTGGAAACTTATTTCTGAGTCACCCTGCTTAAAGTGGGTGTTCACTCACTCGGCAATTATTTATTAAGTACTTAAGATATGCAACGCACTGGTCTTGAGTCACAGGTTACATTAACTACCACAATAAAGATCCTTACCTCATAAAGAGCACCTAGTACGTACATTTAAAAGGTGCTAAGTGGGCACTCCCTGGTGGCACAGCATGTTAAAGTGCAGCACTAAGAAGCTAAAGCCACTTCCACATAAGTTCAATCCCACCTGCCCCGGAGGTGACCCACATGGCTTGGCAGACCTCTCCTGACCCGCCTGCTGCCCCCCTCAGCAGTGTACTTCGGCAATCTGCTTGTTCTGCTCCCTGCTCAGTCTCTGGTGAATCCTCTCACTGCCCCTGCACCTCTGGCCTGTACCCCAGTGCTGCATGCATAAATAAATAAATCTTTTTTTAAAAAAAAGTGCTAAGTGCTGTGGGGAAAAAAAATATTATATAAGTGAAGGGGATCAAGAATAGAGGTGAGCAACCAGAAGTATGGAGGGCAGGATGCCATCTTCCACAGGTGTTCAGGGAAGGCCTCGGTGACATTTAAGTAACAGTTTGGAGGAAGTTAAGAGATACCTAAGCAGAAAGAGTGTAGAAAGTGTGCTCAGAGAGAAAAGAGAGCGCTCCTTCCATTATTTCTTTTAAAATAATGAGGTTTCTTAATACATTTAACAAGCAGTATAGAAAAAAATATTTTTTGAACGTGGAGACTTACCTTGATGAGAGGAGTAAGCCTAATTATTCGGCAATATCCTATTATAATTGTAATCTGGATAAGAGTCAAGTTGTCTGGTCTCAGTCTGACAACGTATATACAAACGATATCAACAATTCCAATAACCAAGATAACAAATTCCAAAGTATTCCAATGGTCATAAAAATATTTCCTTTTAAAAGTTATTATCTGTTTAGAAAACAAATACGACAATAATGTGAGAGGAGAGCTTAAAATTCAACAATTAAATGCTCAACTAAAAATGAGTTACGTCCTAAAAAGAGGGAAGGTGACCCAATGGACTATGATGGAGCATTATGAAAACACCCTGGTGGATATGGTGTAATAACATAATCTGAAGAGGTATGAACATCCACTTCCAAATCACATACAGTGTTGTAAGCCAACACTACCTCAAAAAAAAAAAAAAGAAAAGAAAGTATTTTTTAAGTTATTTGATGGGAATTAAAAAAATAATAATAATCCCAGGCCCTCCCTGGTGGCACAGCTGGTTAAAGCACATCCCTAAGAAGCCAAAGCCACTTCAGCAGGAGCTTGATCCCCACCCTGGAGGTGACCCCATGGCAGGGCAGACCTCTCTTGCTCTGCCCACTGCTCTCTTCAGCAGTGTACTTAGTCAGTCGGCCTGTTCTGCTCCCCACTCTGTCCCAAGTGAAGCCTCTCACCGTCCCTGCACCTCTAGCCGGTACCCCAGTTCTGTTTGCATAAATAAATCTTTTTTAAAAATCCCTTTGATTTTACCCAAAACTGCAATTTAATTAAAAACTATAATCTTAATGATGCTGAAATTCAAAAAACAATGAAAAATTGCAGTACTTGGGAATATTATATTATTATTAATACTAATTAAAGTGTGAAAATAAATGCTGATAAATTATCTTTAAATCATTTATAGTTCTCATGTTATGGTAAGAGTCTTAAGCATATTTGATTTTATTCACTTATTTTAAAAAATTTTTTCATTGAGGTAATATTGCTATGTACTGTTATTTATAATTTGGAAGTACAAGCTTCCCCACCGCCCACTCCAATAATGTTGGCATAGCAATCCCACCGCCAAAGCTTACCCATAGTCCACTATGCTCACTTTTCCCCACTCCACTTCCCCTCTGAATCATCATCATCTTTTTTTTTTTGAGTTTGGCTTTATTTGACCCTTTTTCTGGTTTCTTATATTTCACATATAAGTGACACCACGTGGTATTTGTCTTTCTCCTTTTGGCTCATTTTGCCTAGTACAACACCTTCTAACTCCATCTATGTTACCAAAAGTGGTATGAGTTTACCTTTTTTGATCACTGAGCAGTATTCTATTATGTATCTATATAGCATTTTCTTAATCAACTCATCTGTTGGGAGGCACTTAGACTGTTCCCATCATTTGGCATTGGTGTTTGACAGTGAATGCACCTTTCACTTTGAATTAGTATATTTGTCTTCTTTGGGCAGATAACCAGGCGTGGAATTGCTAGGTGTTATGGCAGACCCATTTTTAATCTTCTGAGAAATCTCTGTGCTGCTATCCATAAGGGCCAGACATATTTACATGCCCACCAAGAGTGTAAAAGTGTTCCTTTTCTTTACATCCTTGTCCATAGTTGTTTTTAGTCTTTTTGATATAGGCCATTCTCACAGGAGTAAAGTATCTCATTGTGGTTTTGATATGCATCTCCCTGATGATAAGCGGTGGTGCAAATGTTTTGTGTGCCTGTTGGCCATTTGTGTGTCTTTGGAGAAGGACCAATTTAGCTCTTCCGTCCATTTTTGATTGGGTTATTTTACTTTTGCTGAGTTGTATGAACTATTTGTGTATCTTTGATATCACACCCTTATAACTCCTTGTTCTTCCATTCAGTAAGGTGTCCTTTTGTCTTGGTTATGGCTTATTTTGCTGTGCAGAAGTTTTTAAACTTGATGCAATCCCAATTGCCTGTGTTCTCAGGGTTTTTATCACTATAGCCAATACATCATAGCCAAGACACCACTGAATTTTATGTTGTGAAGGGTTTTGACTATGTTTCCGTCTATATATTTTATGATCTCAGGTCTTACATCCAAATCTTTTACCCATCTTGAGTTGATTTTTGTTTATGGTGTGAGATAGTGATCTGGTTTCATTCTTTTGCATGTGGCTGTACGGTTTTCCCAGCATCATTTATTGAAGAAACTTTCCTTGCTCCAATGTATATACTTCTTTGTCATACATATCACTGTTCGTATAGGTATGGATTTATTTCTAGGGTCATGATTCTATTCCATTTTTCTGTGTGTCTGTTTTTGTCCCAGTGCAATGCTGATTTAATTATTACAGCTTTATAATACAATTTAGTATAGTTTGCAGTCTGGAAGTGTAATACCACCATTTTTCCTTTTTCTTTGTTAGTACTGCTTTGGCTATTCAAGGTCTTTTGTGGTTCTATATGAATTTCAGTAATGTTTGCTCCATTTCTTTAAAGAATTCCATTGATTTTTTGATAAGGATTATTTTGAATTATATAACACTTTTGGTAGGATGGCCATTTAGACTATTATCAACTAGCTTATAATGCCAATCCATGAGCAGGGAATAGCTTTCCAATTTTTTGTGTCTTCTATTTATTTTTAACAATGTTTATAGTTTTCTTTGTAAAGGTCCTTTACCTCCTTTGTTAAGTTTACTCCCAGGAATTTGTTTTTGGTGTAATTGTAAAGTGAACTATGTTCTTAGTTTCTTTCTCTTCCAGCTCACTATCAGTATATAGGAAGGCAACTAATTTGTGAGTATCAATTCTATAACCTGCCACTTTGCTGAACTGATTTGTTGTTTCAATTTGTTTATTGGTGGCATTTTTAGGGTTTTCTGTGTATTATTATGAGAGCTTTACTTCTTTCCCAGTACGGATTCTCTTTATATCTTGCCTAAGTTGCTCTAATATCATTTCTTTCTTTCCTCTTCTATCCAGAGTTTTTATCCATTCAGATCTTCAAGTATATTGATTTGTTCTTCCATTTAGTCCATTCTACATAGCTTTCTCCTGAAATTTTCATCTCAACCCTCAATTTTCAATGTTTTCTTATTTAAAACTTCAATTGTAATCTTCTGTTCATTGATTTTATTTCTCACTACATTCATTTGTTTTTCTTCCACTTATTGGAATTTCTTTATCATGGCAATTTTGAATTCTGTTTCTGATAGGAAGAACAGATCTTCCATGTTTTGTGACTGGGCTCTGGAAATTTGTTCCCTTTCTGTGGTGCAGTATTCCCCTGTGGACTCATGTTGCCATTTGTTGTAGTTTTCCACCTCTACATTTTTGTTTATTTTGCTTTCAAGGCTCTCCTGCTGTGATGAGACTTCTGGATATGGTTCTTTCCACCCACTGGGCTGGATGGATTCTTACAAGGTTCACAGGCTGCTTCCCTGGGAGTTGCTGCCTTGGGGGCTTTGACTGCTGCCTCGAAGGCTTCAGTGGTACCCTCCATGCTGGGCATTAGCCTCTCCCACCTATGCTGGACCAGAGGTGGCCTTACTAGGGTTGTGTGTGCCTGTGACTGCTGTGTTGGTGTCTTTACTTATTTTTTGCATCATTACAAAGAAGTACTTGAAGAAAAACACCCATGTCTCTATTTTTAGTTCTCATTTACCTGATCTTTGAGATTCTCTACATTTTTACGATATGTATTGTATCTGCTGTTCACGACTATGACTATTATACTAATTTCATTTATTAAATTCATAAAATTAAGGATTACTAATATTTCAAGATCCTAGCAATCATTAAAGCAAATGATAAAAACAGATTCAAAATACCTGAAATGTTTTTTATAGAACACATTTCTTTTATCACAGTACCTTCAATGCTGACTCTAAAACATACAAAGATACAAAATAGTAGTTTACAAACAGCAGTGCTGTCACATTTAACTCTCTTGTCATTGGAGATAGATGTACTATCAAAGGATAAATGTATGTTAATGCCACAATATATCCTGCATATTCAAATTCATCTGAATATACAATGTAATTTGCAAGAGTCATAAATTTATTATTCCTAAAAAAGAGAACAAATAAAATATCAGACCACTTTAAACATATGACACTTGAGATCAAAAATTCAACATTTACTTATACATATCATTGATTTGATGAAGAGTATAACACAAGATATAGATGAGTAAGAATCTAAAACATACTTTCCACATATAAAAAACATAATGGAGAGAGACAAAAATATGGTTCTTGTTAACCTATATCTGGAATGGGAGCATTTTATTTTTTAAATGAAGGCTGCTAGTATATAGAAAACATTATAGAGATTTATACATCAAAAGCAAGAAACAAATACATTTAGGTGAAGATATTAGCATTGTTTAAAAGTAGGAACAGGAAAAATATCCTATTCAATGACTAGCATCAAAAATCAGCATTTAAAAATTTTCCAGTCATTATAAAAAAGAACATAACAAAAAGAAGTTACTTAGATATGATATATGTCAATTTTTAGACCTCTTTAAATTTAATAAGCAGATGAAAGTAAAACATTTTCAGAATTTGTTATGAAAGGTATGTTAACCCCCACTAAAATTTAGTTGCAATGATGTTCCCAATAGCTTCTCATTTAACATCTTCTATCATTAGAAAAATCTTGCCTTTCTACTCTAAAAAGTTTATAAGTGCACAAGTTATGCAACAAAACAGAATCAACCAATTTAAATAAAATCTGTATTTTGTGATTTTTGGAAAAAGTTTACAAGTATGAAGCCTATTTTGGTTTTCCTAATAACAGACATTAAAAGAGCCACCCTGGTGAAGTAGAGAACTAGTTCTAGTCCAGGAGTTTGCTATTTCTCCCCCCCTGCTCTTTGTTTTACTCAGAAGAATACCAAAGAATATGTGAGTAGCCAGGTATGTAGCATGACTCAAAGGAATCACAATTAAAACTTGAAGAACCCAAATATGACCATCCTTATCTTTGTCTTGCTTATGATTTCCTTACAGAGAGGACAGTGAAGTTGCTAACAGAGAATGGAGGAAAAAGTAGACAGCACCTAGCTCCTTCAACACTCAATCAGTGAGTTGTCTATAAAATTAGGGGTTTTTAAAGAGGAAAATCAAGACACTCTATTCTGTCTATTTAGAAAAGGTCATGTCTTCAAGGATATTCCTATTAAAAGTTTATAATACTTACGTAGGAAGAGTAGAAGGTGCCTTATTTTTATGATGTTCTAATATAGATAAAACTTTTTTAAACTTCATAAGCCAGCTTCTAGCTTTTACATAAGTTGAAACATCATAAATACTCATGAATCTAACAAAGACAAAATAATATATGTTATAATAAAGATAAAGTGCTATACTTTTGTATAATATAAAAGGAAAATTATACCAAATATAAATATGACATTGGCCTATTAACAATGATCAGTCCTGAGCTTGTTTATTCTTCTACTTTCTACCACAGTCATGGCACAAGAACATCTTTAGTATGACACTCAGAGGGTATCTGTTCTGGGAACTATTCAGGGCTCTAAGTTAGAACATAATTAAAATTTCTTCAGAGCAATACTTTGGAGTTCACACTCAGGCTTTTCTTTCATCATCTCTTGTCTAACATAGGCTGTTCCTTCTCCAAACTTTATCTAGGAACTGATGAAAAGACAGATTAACATGTTAACTATCATGCAGAGAACATCTCCTATCATTGTCCACAACTCTGTCTTAGACCATTTGTTATATGTTGACCACCTAGGACAGAACCAGATAAGTGTCTCTAAGACACTTGAGGTTTTTTTTGCATAATCCAGAAGCACCACCACTCGTGTCAACCCCGCGAGAGCCTACTCCCCACACCGCTAATAGTCTGATTGCATGCAGCAGGTTTCACTACATCCCCTGGCCAGAAATTTAATGAATAGGATATAAAGGCAAAATAATCACAATAGTAATTAAAATAGTATGGGTGCTCTTCCAAGTATTAGTCCTTATCTAATATACTGTAGACAGTACATCCTCCAGAATCTCCTAGTGTTATCAAGGTTATTAATCATCAGGAGGAAAAAATATAAACAATAAAATATTAAATAGATGGATGGATGAACGGAAAAGTGGAAAGATGAACAGACAGATGAAAATTGATTGATCTGGATATTCAGGTCTTAGTTTTTTCATACTTCATCCCATGCCCATTCAATATTGGGAATATCAATTAGAGAGGTATAACACTTACTTTCCTTGGATGGAGCAATAGCTTTTGGCTGCACCAATTAATATCCGGGCTGCTTCTACGCTGAGGAATCCATCATTGCATTGTTTTTCAAAGCTACTCTAAACAGAAAATTTTAAATAAAAATTTAAAAAGATGCCAACAGAAATGGATTGTACTCTACTTGACCTGTTTATAGCCCCCACAATTACTATTGAACTTAACATATGAAAACACAATTTTACAAAAAATATTTGTAAAGCAGGACAATTTCAAAGTAAATACTGAATATTCGTTTTTTTTAAATTCTTAGTAAAGAATTACTGGTTTACAACATTATATAGGTTTCAGGTGTACATCATTATAAATCAACATCTGTATATACAACATTATTTTCACCACAAAACGTCTAATTCTATCTTCTACCATACATCTGACTGCTTTTATCTGACTCTATAGTTTCCCACTATAAGTAACAGTGGAAAATAGAGCCAAATATTATTCAGATACCCCATTAAAAGTAAATTGCTAAAATTTGCTAAACTTATAAACAAAGTAATAAGACTTGTGACTTGACTTTAAGGCATAAGAGATTTTTTGACTTTAATAATGACTTTAATAATGTAATGTTATCAGCCAAAACACTATCAAAAGGTATATGGTAGAGGTAGTTGAAAACAAGATTTATGGATTAAAGACATGGCAAAAAAAAATTTAAAAAGCAGATATGGGAACAGTACTGACCATTTGTATCATAGCAACATGCAATCTGGCTTCTTCTATTAAATCTTCATCTGTTGGAGACTCCTCCTCTTTTTCATTACTAGGTGAAACATGGGAAAGCTGAACAGTATCACACTAAGTTTAAAAACATACAGTGATGAAGTTAAAAAATAAGAAAATATGAGATGTCAAATACTTCACCCAGCAAAGACTCCAACATCAAAAATCAGGATGGCTAAAGTAAAATATGTAAAATTCAATATTGTTTTTTATATAAAATGTGCTGCTTTCATTTGTGGCTGAGAAACTTCTCATTTGTGGAGATCTGGAAGTCAAACTCTTCCTCAAATCTCTGTGCCTGACAGCTGTCTGAAGTAGTCTGTTTTCTGTTTTTTATAAACACTTAGACAGGAGAGAGCTCATGTTGCTTAACCTGTTGGAAACATCAGCTTGACAGAGAGCATTGATAATCAGCAATCAACTATGCTCCAGTACTGACAAACAAGGATAGGGCACCAGACTGTCTTTTTAGAAATGGAATTCAAGCAAGTCTTTTTGCTAAGCTAACAGAGCTAATAAAAAGATCCCACCTCAGTTTTTTCACATTTAATTAGCAGGATAGATGGATGGGTGGATGATGGGAATGATGATTATCTTATCACTTATCTTATAAAGCAAGTGAGGCAGACTAATGAAGGTTATTTTTTCCCCAGGTATCAACTCACAGGAATGATGGACTCAATCCTCGTTTTTTCTTCTACCAATGTCCAATTAACATTTGTCAAAATTTTTTCTGCTTTAGATAAGTTTATTGTATTTTGTATTATCTCCTGTATGTGCATAATGGCATTTCGCAAGGCCATTTGTCTTGGGAAGTCAATAACGCACACACCTAAAAAAAAAAAAAAAAAAATCAAGGACCTCAATAGACACAGTGAAGATTGACAGGGGAAATGAAAATATCACACACTGGAATGAAATCTTGGCCTCACCTCCATAGTCAAACCAGAGTGCTTAGAGCAAAGACAGATTTTTATCCAAACTTTTCTAGAAAATGACTCAACTGTATCCTTTTGGCTACAAGCTCAATTTTATCTGACTCAACACTAAAGAATGTTTCATTAGTTTCCTTTCTTTCCCTACATAGGTTTCCCCTACTACCCAAATGTAGAAGGTTGCTATGGGTATGATTTGGTTGGTTATTTTTTCGTTCTGAGAATGCTAGTACCATTCACTTATATGAGAAAATTTTTAGCATTCCCAGTCCCCAAAAATAGCCTACCAAATCATATCAAATAAGAACCTTCTTCTTTCGGATAGTGGGGGAAACCTGCAGCTGGAGCCGTGACTCACTAATTTAAGGCATCTAATCAGTATTTCTCAGCATATAGAAAACCATGTGTATCTGCTAAAGTAGAAGGTCTGACTTTGTAGAGTCCCTCTCTCCACTCCCCCTGCACCCTTGCCTCAGACTGATTTTTACCTTGAATATCTGCAGGGACCGTCCATGTCCACTTGTGATTTCATACTAATCCTGCATTTTATTATTGACAGCTGCAAATTCCCTCTAGAAACTGACACTGTGGTAGAGCCTATTCTCTCCCCCATTTTCTTTTATCAATATACTTTGAGATTGGGCTGAGCATACGGCCAGCCAGGTAAGGATAATATTTCCCAGCTTCAAGTTCTGGCCAATGAAATGTGAATGTAATGATATAATTTCTGGATTGTGCCCTGAAAAGGAAAGTGCTCACTGTCCATTGTCACCACCACCCCTACTTTCCCTTTGAGGTTAACTGGATTGAAGAGGTGAGGAAGGGGGTTGATATCTACCTTGCAGACAAGAGGAACACCCCAAGGGTGGAGGGGCTACAAAAGAGAGGGCTCCTGACTCTGGACAGCCCTCTTATTCCTTTGCCAAAACATCCTATTCCTTTGACCATTGATCTGAATGAACCAATATTCCAATTAACATAAGATTTTTAAATAATGAGCAAATGAAAAGACATGACTTCTAAATCAATTCCTTGGTATCCATAAGAAGTCTTCCCACAATCTATAATAATCTACCCTCCCTAGTTAATAAAAGACAGATATACTTTACCTAATGTCCTGGCTGAATGAGTCATCAAGTATGAGTTTATCACCATAGTCATTAATGATATTACTTGTACATAAAATAAACACTAAAAACAAAAAATATATATATATAGTTAGAACTAAAACACTAGTAATCCCTCCAAAGGGAATCATTGTTCAGTTAACCAACACAATTTTGCCTTGACCCACATTTTTAACTCCTGCCTCTGATAAGCGAGGCAAAAGGATTATTCTATGGGCACAGCTGGAATATAATACACGAGGGCAGAATTAAGTTTTCAAGTAGAGGAAAAAAAATAAAAAGGTTTGGAATAGGCATAAGGAGAAGGGGGAAGGAGCTCTCTACAGTTAGCACTTCCAGTAGAAGCCATGCAAAGCCAACAGGTAGCAGCCATCACAGACACAACTGTGAAATAGCCCAGCCATACCAGGCTGTGGTGAGCAGGGGTGGCACTGGGATATGTGCCTGGCATAGGCATTGCGTTAGCTCAGGAGGTTGGGCAGAAACAGGAGGGAATTCTGGTAGAGTCTGGAGAGGCCTGTGATCAAGTAGAAACACAACCTTGGGTATAGATCTTGGTTTTGTTGTTGATCAGTCATATAATTTAGGCCAGATAATGTCACCACTCTGAGCCTCAAGGGTCCACCATTCAACAATGGAGTTTATACAATACATGCCAAAGTTGACTAACAACAATAAGCACTGGAAATGCTTACTGACACCCAGACCTACTCCCTGTGAAGTCTGGTTCTGTTATTTCTGGGATAGTGCCAAAGGGATTCTTAACACCAGACAGATTTGGGAATCTCAGTACAATGATACTAAAATGATAATTAACAATTCATTAACTTGATTTTAGGCCAATTTTTTGCACAAAAAAGAACCACACAAGATGTTGGTTTTTTCATTTTATGTTTTCTTTGGATCATGGAAGGACTTTTGCAAAATTACAGATTGTGTGACTTTACATGAATTCTCAGACCATACCCACAGATAAAATGTAAACCCTTAGGAAAGATGGGGAGGAATATTATATTATATTTTTAAAAAGAAAGGGGCTTTCTTGGGCCCTCGCTGGTGGGGCAGCGGGTTAAAGTACAGCACTGAGAAGCTAAAGCCACTTCAGCATGCGTTTGATCCCCCTAGAGGTGACCCACATGGCGTGGCAGACCTCTCCTGACCCACCCACTGCTCCCCTCAGCAGTATACTTCGTCAGTCTGCCTGTTCTGTTCCCCACTGTGTCTCTGGTGAATCTTCTCACTGTCCCTGCACCTCTGGCCTGTACACCAGCTCTGTATGCATAAATAAATAAATCTT